TTCAGTTTTTCAGACAAATGGAACAACATGTATGATGGTGGCAGAGATTCCCACGAGGGCAACTTCCGAAGGACATGTTGAATGACTCATGAAACGCAGCCAATGACTGCACGGTTACATATTACAAGCTGTGTAATTGGAAGGAATTGATTCCGTGATCTTGAGGGAAATGACAATAAAAAGTTACAAAGGTGCTAGCCATGCTCAACTTATGTTAACAACCCTGCCCTTATTTTCTGTTCTGTCTGCTTTTTGGCACAGCATTGCCAGTTTGGCCAGTGATTCTGAGCCTGCAGAGCACATTGTTTTGAACACACACAGTATTTAGTAATGCATTAGTCCTTACTGATGGGTTTCTTTGTGTGCATACAGTAGGAATAAGGACAGTTTGACCTTTGTAATTGTGATGGGGAATAGATGAATGAGTGGATAAATTATAGATAGAGAGCAAATTGAAGATGGGCTACCAATCCTGTCTTCAGAAATGATCTATTCCCCGACTTCTCAAACACAGAATCACTCATTCAATGTTCACATGAAGAGGATGTGATCTCCTGCTATTTCACTGCAACGTTATCTTGCTTTCTTTCTCTGCTTGTCCTCCTTATCCACACTCATTCCCTGTATATCAGCCTAAATCACTCGAATTTCATTTTGTGTCGTATTATTTTATCATACCCTACGAGGTACCACCATGTCTCTTCTTGCTCGATTTCCTAAATGAGTTGTGCAATTAATCTCCTTGTAAATTTATATCAGGCAACACTCTCACTTTCTTTTACTTAGAAAGTCTGCAGGCAAGGTAGGTTTTGTAGGTACCTACAGTAAAAATATGTGGGTGTGCTTCACAAATTTACACGACATTCCATGAATTTGTCTGCTGCCGTCCATGCTGAGTGACTTAAAACATGAACTATGAAAAACTGTTAATTTACAACATGCACTCTGAATGAACTTGTCTCTCTCTGAGCTCCTTCTTCAGCATTTACCCTTTCAAACGGGCAAATGAGACAACTGCAGGGACAAGAATAGCCAAGAACTGTCAGAACAAAAAAGTGGCACCAGAGAGAACACATTCACATTTGAGCACACACACAAAAAAACATTTCATCTCATTTTTAGATAAAAATTACAAAAATGCTGGACCCCTAAACAGATGACTTCATATCTCATCGTCTTGGTTACACAGTTGCCCCGTTTCCATGGAGTCTCAGGGGGAACCAGTTTCAAAAGCAGATTTGATTGGTCGCTGGGGCTGCTTCCCTCTGTGCTGCTAATTAGCAGTTTCATGGCTTCCCTCAGGTCTGTAGTGATGTTGGTGGGACAACAGGCTTTCATACTGAAATAGACACACACACACACACGGAAACAAAACATGCACGCAAAAACACATATACACAAATATGTTTTCTCACACACACACACACACACACACACACACACACACACACAGAGAAACACACAGTCTTCTCCAGTGTGGTGCTGGTGTGTGTGATGTAGCTAGCAGGACAATTGTACTTGCCTTTATCATACGAGTTCAACTTGAACACAGCTGTCTGCCTCTTCCTATCTGTAGTTTATGTGTGATGTTTTTCTCCCTTTTGTCATCACAACTTCCACCCACCCCCCACACCCCCCTTCCTCTGACTTACTTAGGGATGTAATCAGGGAAACAACAAAAAACCAGAGGGGGAAAAACGCAGGAAGACAGCCAACTCCCATTGCAAATGAAAGGAAAATGAACGCTGCAAAATAATACAATCCTGAAAAAATAACATTCACTCTCCCTACCACAGCTTTACCGTGCTGTTCCTCTCTATGATAGCTGCATTCTGCTCTCTACAACTCGCTGTTTACCTACGTCTTTCCATCACTCTCCTCTTCGCGGCCTGAAAATATTAACCCTGGAGGTTCTTTTTTGCTCACCTCTCATGCTACCGTGAGCTACATTAAACATGGCCAATGTTTCCAGGGACACATTTACAGTCCTCTGGTGGTGGAAAGCTCTGCAGTGTGTGTGTAGGTAACATTAATAAGCACTGGGAAATTTCTGACTTGAGGCAGCCTTGTGTGACTATTACTGAGGCAAAGGGTTATAACCATGCACGCTCTTGCTCCTTATAATTTGTAGGCAATGCAACAAATATGAAGAAAAATGAAGAAATAAATACAAACTTCTGTCATTTCCAATTTCTTTAAAGGGACACATGCAGGGAAATATGCTTATTCTCTTTCTTGTTGAGAGTTAGATGAGAACATCTTATTAGCACAGTTTAACAAAGACGCGAAATGGGAAACTTCAAATGAGTACAGACATGAGAGTGGCATCGATCTTGCCATCTAACTGTTAGCAAGACAGCGACTGTTTAGACATATCTGCCTACAACTGTACATATAATCTGATAAAATAAGTCTGTGATTTCTAATTAAAACCTAATTCCACTGTCTGTTAAATGCTCAGTATTAACAGACGGTCACATCCTAAGACCTTCCTCTGAAAACTAATAACTTCATTAACATCTATTAGTGTCAGTTTGATGCAGTGGTGGATCTCATTTCAGAATGAAACCCTTCTCCAACATTAAAGGCAGAGCTCCATCTAACAAACAAGATCTCAGAAGCTTTTTTTTTTCCTCTGATGTCCTCCCTTGCATCATGCCTTCCTTCAAATCAGTGTTTATAAGGATCATATAAAAATAAACTGCCATTCTCTGAGGGCATACATGATGAAACAGATCATTGTCAGGTATGATGGGATTCATATTCCGAATCAATAAGGGCTTAGAAATCAGGGCTCAACAGCTTCTAACACTTGAAACTCTGTATGCTGCGAGGGGTGCGCTCAAGGGAGCATGGTAGGTGAGGGCAGAGTGGTGTGTGAGAGGTGAAATTTAAAACGCAGATAAACACATGGGAGTAAGAGAGCAAATTGGGGAATGGAGATAGAAAGAAATAAGAGGGTGGAGAGCAGGATGCTTGTGTATAAGAGATAATGTTCACAGGTTGTACAAACATATGGATGGAGGCTAGACAAAGGGGTAAAAGAAAGCAAGATCCAGAGAGGCGGACAGACAGACGGTAATACAGCAGGTTAGAGAGATAATAAAGACATGAAGAAAAGTGAGACTGCAAAAAGGATTGAGGCAAGAAGTGGGATGTTTATCCTTCCCATGATCATGTAGCCGTCTGTCTCTCATTTAGCCCAAGGTTCTGATTAAGTCATTTGTGTTTAAAGAGGAGGAAGCCTCTAATTCCCCTCCTTTCATCTAATTTAATTATGTGCTGACATTCTCCCTTTCTTCCTTAGAAGGATAAAAGCAGCTTAAGCTTTTATGTGGAGCTTTAATGACAGCGGCGAGGAAACTTTACTCGCTGATTGCTTAGCCTTAAGTGTGTTTAGCCTTAACACCGCGCGGCATCAAACACAGTTGTAGACACACATACTGTAGTCCATGCGGCTCGTATACACGTGTTCACACGCAGAGTGAAACACAGAAAGTATTTTTGTGTTTAACTAGAATTCAGTCAGGGAGCTACAAACACAAGTGGTCTGTTTACCATGAAGCTGTGTTACTGCCTTTAGATGCATTCTCACTGCTGTGTTTTGAAGTTGTTGGCATGCTGGATCAGTGGTCAACATGGCTGCCTAACAGCAAATAGGCTGGGGATTGTCTGTGTGGAGTTTGCATGTTTTTTGTTGTGGATTTCTTCCAGCAGTCTAAAAAATGTTAAGTAAAAATTACCCAGAGAGACAACCCATTCCCATAGAAAAACATGAATATTTGATCATTCTGCAAAACCTCAGAATATGTTATATATATATATATATGTTATATATATATATATATTTCCAGTAGATCTTACTGTGTACACATGTGGTGAGTTAACACGTAATAGTGTGTGGCACATTTGTCATCTGTCATGATTTCTGTTGAGTTTCCTGAAAGTTCTCCCAGTCCAGGTGAAGCAGAAAAGAAAAACATTGCCACCCCCCAAAAAAATCTGTAAGCATTTCTGGGAAAGATAATTAGGACGACCAACAAAATTTATCTACAAACACTCACATGAACTAGCAAACGCTTGCCTATTTACACACACACACACACACACACGTACCAAGACACATTTACAGGGAGCTTCATTAATACTTTGGGCATGTCCACACTTCACACAAATAATCATCCCATCCCTATCAAAAAGTAAGTTTAGAGACATTCATCAAACTACTGTAGAGCATCGGCTTAACAGCCCTCAGCAAGAACTGTATTGTAAGAATCAGCTGTATAAAAAGCACTGCACGGGTGGGGCCCAGCCAAATCAGCAAAAATATCTTTAATTAGGACAAGGGGTTTGGGTATAGTCACACAGACAAACAAACAAGTCATTAATCACCTCATTGGCAGTCTGGTACACACATATATTTAAGAGGCAGAATGGGTGTGTCTGTGTGTGTGGGGACAAAGAGGGAAAGTGAGAGCAACAGTCACAAAGCCACAGAGAGCAATGTGAGAGAAACCTTGATGAAGGATGATAGAAAGAGAACACATTTAAAGAGGCCACGAACAAGAGATGGATAATGAGACGGACAGTAAAACGAAGAGTGTTAGAATGACAAAGTGGGGAAGAGAGGCAGTGAGAGGGAGGGTGGCTAATGAAAACAAGTATGTGTGGTGTGTGTGTGTGTGTGTGTGTGTGTGTGTTGCGGGGGTGGCTGGAAAACAGAGAAATGTAGAAATGTAATGGAAAGCAGCTTAATGGCATGAAAAGACATTAAAAAATGTGCAAGTGAATCCACTTTGGTATCATGCTGCTGCATCTGTTCATGTGTTATATAGGCCAACATTCATCATCATCATAAGGAAGTTAATGAACCCCACTGGCTTAGGAGCAGGATCCCTATCTGTGTAAAGGGAACATTATACTCAGTGCAGCACTCACTCACACATACCTCTGTTTCTGTCTAACTCACACATGTCACTTAAGAAAACATTACTCATTGATAAAGTAATTAAATTTTTTCTTTATTACTCGTTACATGACTTTTGTTACTCATCTACTCACATCTAATATTCGGTGTTTTACACATAGAAACAGAATATGTGACTTTATAGTTTAACAAGCAACCATTCAGCATTTTGGAGGCATTTACTTATCATCAACAGCTAGCCTAATGTTTGCCTCAGTGACCGCACACAGCACTACAAACGCAGTGGAGCTGTGGGGTTCACACACCCTGCGACTCTGAACAAAACCAAGTGATTTCTGAAAGTAGGAAAACTAGCGGCTAACGTTATCAAGCCAGTTGAGGGGACACAACATTACAGATTAACATTACAGTGGAAGGTGGGGATTCACTGTGCTCCTCTGTAATTTAACTCATGTGTGTAATTACAGGATATGGTCTGTAACAGACATGGACATTTTGCAGGAGAAAGCCAAAACCTCTAGAGTTTAAGGGGAGGGGTGACAAGAGGCAAACATACTGCATGAGGGGAGTTAAAAATCTTACTTTTCTCTGAGTTATTACACAGTCAAATCTTAACAGAAAGACATGAAATACATACTGATATCATTCAGTGTGACTTACACTTCCAGAGGCTATCAAAAGTAGAAAAAGGTGAAAATAAGTGCTTGTTTGTCTCTTTACACCTCTTGACACTCTTTTTTCCCCTCAACCACTTCTCTCCTTCCCTCTGCTGCACTTGGGGACACAATACTGACAGAAGTACAGTAGCCTAGACCAAGGATCAAGGTAATTTATTTATCATTATACAGCACAAGGTTGTATAACTTCATGCTACACACAGAACACAACAGATAGTTAAATGCATATTAGAATAGAGTAACTTCCTAGCCTCCTCTCATCTTGCTGAAGTCTTGTGCTGTCAGCTTGGCACACGCTCCACCTGCCGAGTGCTTGATCCGGGATGTTGATGGTTGGTTGATGTCGAATTTCCAGTTGCTTGGCAAGCCAAGTCCCATTTTTTCTAGACTGGACATTAGCCAGGAGCAGGGATAGGAGCAGCATGGCTCCTATCCCTGCTCTCTTTCCTCTCCTGCCACAATCACAGCACCCGCCTGCCAGGATTGTCTCAAGGTCCGCTGCTCTCTAAGGTAAAATGTGTTTCAGCAATAAAGCCAGGAATAAATAACAGATGAAAAACCAAAATGCAGTTGGAATTTAAAGGAGCTACCAGTAGCAGCACCTGCATGCGATGCTGATGCGCCCATCCTGTGAGCAAATGTGATAAATCTGATGATTTTCTGGAGAATTAATGTGTGTCAAGACCAGGGTGGGAAATTTTTTTCCTAGACTTTTTTACAAGATTTTTGGTTCTCCTCTTTCACCTCAAACGGGTGCTTCTGCTTAAGGTTGTGAAATGAGTTTTGTTGTTACAGTCTTCCAGCACTTTTTACATATTACGGTGATTTGTTGTACATCTTTTATAACCAAACCAATTCTACACTACTGAAGTCACCGGTAGCATTGCTGCTTTCCCTTTCAGCCACGCTTGTTGTCGCAGTGTGTAACGAACGATATGACGTCAACAAGTGGGAATATTGCCATTATCATAATATACATTTTTTAAAAACATTAAAAAAATTATATGGATATATCATGAACTACATGATATGTAACGCCCCGACTCAAAAGCGAAAGTAGAAAGCACTTGGCAACTTAGACAATCTGGAAAAGTAACTAGTATAAATAAACCAATATGTACTATCTTCTTGTAGCTGACAACGGTCTATTCAGTGAGCTTTTGCTCTCTTGATGGCTTTAATTTTATCTGTCGTCATATTGGTTCCCAAACATGCCTACATGTTGGGGTTAGCATGTTTCCATCTGTCAAATTAGCAAAAATATTTCTGACTTAGTCCATCTTCACACAAAAGTCATGTAGAAGGACAGGGAGCTCCTAGAGCAAAAAACTCTTCTTTTCCACTTTAAAATACAAGAACATTGCTCAAGACTGGATTTAAATTACAGGAGGACTAGCAAGTTTGCTTAAAAACAGGTGGTAAATGTGGCTGCAATAATTACAATAATGGTGTTGGGGGAGAAAAATTACCCACGTACACAATCCAGATTGGATTAATCACATGTTAATAAACAACAAAATATGTACATAAAAGTTCCTGAACTGCAAAATCAATCTTAATGTAGTAGACCTACACTTCTCTAGCATTAATAAAACACATTTCTTCCTTCTCTTTCTCCATCCACTAACAATCTGACAAACCTAAATTTTACCTACTGTATTCTGAAGATTGCAAAATGATGTCCTCAAAAGTGCATATTTTTTATAACTGAACCAAAGACACCACATTGTACGGAAGAGAGGGACTAGAAGTCTAATGGGACCTGAACAAGGCATGCCTGCCAAGTAGCTCTAACAGGTGTTTCTCATTAATGCCGGAAGAAACGAATCTAGTGCAGGGAGAGAGGGAGAGCAGAGTGTGAAGAGTGAAAAGGAGAAGAGAGAAACAAATGATGAGCTGATATATTCCCGTGTTATTCATTAGTGTCTTACAGGCTGCTGATGTTAATGATTCACTGTCCATAACATTCCCCATCCCCACTATGTACACACACACACACTATATCTTTCTCTTCCTCCCGCTTCTCTTGTCCACTCTCTGGCCTTCTGTGCTCTTTCAACTGAAAAACAGATTTGTCTTTTAATCCCTTACTGTCCCCCCCCCCCCACCCCCCTTATTCCTGGCATCTGTGTGTGAGTGTGTCTGCCTCTGGTTAGCCACAGCAGGTGTGGGTCAACGAAACTGTAACCAACAGGTTAACGCAATCATATTGTCAAAGAGAGGCAGCGAGCACACATGTGCATATGCCACACACAAACACACACACCCTTACTTTCTACCTGGCACATGGTACTTTTCTCCCAAGGACAGACATTTTACATCTAGCTTCACCTCTACTAATTAACAAGCTGGACCGTTGCATCACCATGGGAACCGCTCTGATTAACCCTCAAAACCTCAAACTTGCCTTCCCTCTCCCAAACCCCTTCACTTCCCTTACCACCCAGCCCTCTTCCCTCATGCACCACCAGCACTTCGTTGCACATGGATGCCTCACCTCCATTAACCATTAAACTGGCCTGCGTCAAAGCCCACATGCCGAAAGGAGGGTGAGGAGGGGAGTGGGGGGGGGGGGGGGGGGGGGGGGGGGTCTCATTAAACACTTTGAGCCTCGACAGAATCAATTACAGTGATCTATCGATTTGTCAGTGGGTACCAGTGGCTCGCCCAGGGTACCAGGACCTGCCGCCGAACAGGAGGGAGAGGGGACAAATGGATTAAGGGCGAAAGGAATGGAGAGGTGGGAAGCTGAAAAGACAGCAATGGAGGAAGACGTAAGGAAAGGAGAAATTGTAACAGGAAAGGAGAGATGGAATTAGGAAGGGGGTGCTGGCGTGAAGGAGCAAGCAGTGTGGACTAAAGGGGTGGAGTGAGGAGGAAATGGTTGAAGGAGGACTGATGGAAAAAGGGTAAGAAAAGGGCGAAGTGGAAAAATGAGACCGACAGACGGAGCGGGAGAAAAGTAGACCTGCGCATGAGGGAGAGAAAATACATTTCCTTATCAAACTAGAGAGCGTTCTCCCACCTAGTGCCGCCCCATTTCTTTCATGTCCCCTCTTCACCTTTCTTTAATTTCTATCCTCCACCTCCTCAACCTCGCCGTTCTTTGTATTTTCTCACTTCATCTTCCTCTCTCCTCCCCTCCATTATAACTTTCTCCGCCTGAACTTTCCGTCCGGGGCACGCTGTGCTTCCATCTCCAGCGTATGGGGTCATTTAAGTATAGACGGGGCTATAACCTTGAAAGTAATACCCAGCCACAACTAAGTTAGAGCTGAGTGAGCTGCAACATGTGAGGACGCCGCAGGGAGATTGGTCAGGGAGATAATAATACTAAAACGGGGATTTGTGTTTATTAAAGTAAAAGAAATATGGAAGTCTTTGGGTTCTAGCGTAATAAAACAGTATAGCAGGACAGTTTTATCTATCTATCCATCTATACTATAGGATAACTGAGCTCATGCTTGAAGTGTATTTTTATGAGCATATATGTGGCACAAACAAGATCCCATTATTATCTTTCATTATTTGCAAATGTCATCCCACACCTGTGTTACACTTTGCTGCTACTTCTATTCAGAGTCTGGGAATAATAGGGTAGACACATACGGCAGCCCTCACAAACTAAATAGCTACGAGGCGTTTTATGTTTCACACATGACAGACAACACGTATTCTTCTCCTGTAATGAGGCAGCAGGGCTCCAAGAGACAACATGGGAGATGATTAGACGGAACATCCACAGCAAATATGAAACCACAACCGCAGAAGAACCCTGTCATTCATACGATAGTGTAGATAGCGTACTTGAAGAGGCGGACAGATAAAATAAAATAAAAAGACGCATGGTGTATGCTTCACACCTTGTCTGTTGTCAGGGTCAAGGGTAATCATGTTGTAGTTGAGCAGCAAACACAAGCATGTGACACTGAGCAGAAGTGCATTCCCTGCACCTAAACATGATCATACGCAGACATAATATTAGAACTGGGAGATACATGAATACAGTATCATCGTGGTGAGAGACTCAATTTTCTCATTCTCATTTCCATTTTGATTATCGTAACATCACATTTTCCTTATCTTAAAAAGTCAAATACAGATCTGGGTGTTTCATCACTCCATTAATATGTGGTCTGCTAACTGAAATTAAATTGCTGTTTTGGTCCACTACAGAATACATATCTGCTGTGTAAATCACACCTCCTGTGTTCTCCTTTGAAAAAAAAAATCAAAAGGGAGATTTATTTTCTTTCATTTTTTTTTTTCGTTTCATGAAGGTGCCTGCTATTTCTGCATCAGGTGGTTCTCTGTCTATGTAAAAAGAGAACTGGTTTCCATACAGCCAGTCAAATTGTGCATAAAGCAGTAGGGTCAGATTCTGTTATAGGCAGAGGCAAAGCATCCAGATGGTCATACTGAGCCAGACAGAAGCTGCAGAACACAAGAGCTACTCTGAATAACAACCTACAACAAGTCTTGTTCTTATCTAACTTAAAAACATGAATAAGGTAACTTACTGTCCAGCACCTAAGCTTGTTGAAGGAGCAACCAAACAAGCTTTCACCTGGGAAAAGTGCACTGCCAACTCCAGTTTTCAAACTAGTTAGCAAATGATCTGCTCAGCTACAGCACATTCAGACAAATGTGCAAATGTCAATCTGGTCCTGTTAGATGCTGGTGTGGTCCTTACACTCTTCAGTACCACTAACAACAGCTGCCTGCTTTCCAGCTGCTGTCAATCAAACACAGACACCCACAAGCACATCCAGCCGACTTAAGGAGCATTTTATACATTTCCCCAAAGATCTTTTTCCTTTCTTGTTTTTAATAATCAAGAACTATTAACGATACATTGAAAAGGGGAAGACTAAATCTGAAATCAGTTTGACTTAACTAATTATATTATCGGTTTTATTATATATAGGTTGGTTATGTCCATATTTACATTTTTTGTTAGGCCTAGACCTCTAGTAGTGGAAGAAGTAAGGTAGTATAAAGACTGACAAAGTCCGTCAGGTAATGTACTTATTTTAATTGAAACCACAATCTTTTACTCAACTTAACCAAGTGGTTTTGTTGCCTAAACCTAACCAAACTACAGCCATTTCACAACTTTTACCATGTGTTAAAAGTCATCTGACGTAGGCCATGTGTCCTACGTAATGTGCTCAAGGTCGATACGCCTATCGCTGGAATGGTCATAAATGTCGTTGTACTTTCTGGCAGACGGTTGTATATGTTGTTTTGGGATAATTGACATTTTTATCGTTTAGGTATGTGGACTTGTTGATACAGTAAAAGTCCTGCACTTTGTATGCCCACCCAGACAACCTCTTTATGACTTGTGCAGTACAAGAACTTTCTGGACAAGAATGCTTCCTGGACTGGAAACATGTCATCAGTAAGCATAATCAATGCACGAAGTTTCTTCCAAAGCATATTTCACTAAACCATTTAGTATCAAATAAACATTTTATTTCAGTGACAGGGTTTCAAGGACAAGGACAGAAGACTAGAAATTTGCACAGTAAAATAGTAACAGAATTCATAAAAAAAAGGCTGAGAAGCGAAGAAGGAGTAGGGGAAACAGCACGTTTCTAAATTAGGGCTGCCCTTTCTTTTTACCTTTCAGTTTATTTGTGGAGTTAAATTGTCACACATGAATGCAGAGCTGCCCTTTGTAGCTCACGGTAGGTGACTTATGAGACTCTGGAAACAAGGGAGTTCTTTCAGGGGCTTCTGGGTGAGGTAAACAAGTGCACATGCAGCCGGAGGCAGAGCAACTTGCTATCAAAGAAAAAACCCACAAAATGCCAAAATAACTAATATGGTAAAAATCACAGCAATTCTCGAGGAGATAGAGAGGGCCGAAAGGGAATAGCATTATTTTTTTTATACTAGTATGTCCACTGTGTTATGTTAAAAATGAAAAAGATTTCTATCAAAATTCACTGTAAGAGAAAGTTTCCTAAATCCACCCCTGACAACAAGAAGTTAGTTTCATAATGCAGCATATTTCTCTGTCTGCTTTTTTGCAACAATCCCAGTCTGAACTCCAGTTCCGCAGAGGGGTCATTTAATATAGCGTGGTTAAATGTCAACTCCTCTAGTTTCACTGTCTTTCTGACAGCATCAACAACATCACAGACAACTCCAAATCTAACAAAGGTCAGTGCGCTTTTTCCCGTTCTCTTTCCCTGTTTGTATGCATGAGTGTGTGAACGTGAGAGCAAGCGGGAAAAAAAGAGAGGCTGGAGAGAGAGCGCAGAACTCAAGAGTTGTTTAAACCCAGCCTAGCGGTTCGATATCCATCAGATTTATGTCTCTGTTATTTTCCCCTCCTAAACAGTAAGTGATAAACTCAGTGAAGGACACAATAACAAAGATCTACCTTTTCACCTCTCTCTCTCCTTGGCTATCTCTTGGTCTCTCTGTCTTACTCTCTCTGTCCCTATGCTATCAATCAGTCTTGTGATGATTGCTGTTGGATTACAGGGCTTTTGCTGTCCGCTTCTAGCGATTAACGTCAGGACAAATAAAATACCCTTATATCCCTTCACAGTGACTGAAGAGCAGGGCCATGTGCACTCAAGCTCATATTCACACACATGCAGTGCACAAATTAACCTTAATCTTAAATTCAATCACAAAAGTAGGCATCTTTGACATCCACTCCTCTGTGTTTCTCTGTGCGTGTTTGGTTGTGTAATGCAGGTGTGATTTTCTCCTGTTTGTCCTTGTTCGACCCTCACATGCACATCGGCCAGAGATAAAGTAGTGGATGGTGGGTTGTGAGCTCAGCTGAGGACGGTGGCAGCCATGATGAATTAGGACTGGCTGTGGGGAGTAATGCAAAACAGCAGAACTGGG